CAATTCCTTCATGTCCTTCCTGTGTCTCTGTAGATATATAGTTTATAGGTGTATACAATTTATATATATACAAATATACACAATATATACAAATTATGACTGGTTTTGATCTTCACCATTTTTTCCTGAAAAATATGAGCTTCCTGATTCAACGTTTCAATGGAGTTTCAGTTGCTTGTAATCAGTTCCCTGATACAGCTAGCTTGCTATTATGATGCTTGTTTGTAATTGAAACCAAGTTATTAGGATGCTTTTATTGAAGACTAAATGTTTGTTACTGTTTTCATGTGGAAAACTATGTATCTATCAACCCCTTTGCCTTTTGATCCTTTAAAGACCTATTTTTTTACAACCCACTTCATCCTCTCTGGAGCAATGAGGCCTCCTATGGCACAGCAGGCCACACTTCACATACTAAGCAAGCAAAGGGATGTAGTTTTTCCATTCACAGGACCACTGTTTTCCAGGAGATATTAGGAACAGCAGCACAACACTGCTCATTGTGTTTTGGGTTTTCTAACAGCACTCTCAGCTTGCTTCCACAATTAGCTTAAACTGTATGAAGTAATTGGATAGAAATTCCGTGTCTGCGTTCAGGGGATTTAGTTGTGGTATGTTCTGAGGAAATTTGCAAGAAGCACCTGAACATGTCAGTGACTTTAGGTTAAACCCAAACTTCAATTTAAATTTAAGCATGATTCTCAAGAAGGACATACAACTTAGGGTAACATCAATTATCCTACCTCTCTTTTTCTGCAAGCAGAGAGGGGTAAATTTACCCTCATTCACATTTGTATAGCCCCAAAACAAGTAAAATGTTTAGTGTACTTTGTCAGGAAGATTTTCTGAAAAACAGAAAAGATAATACATGAAAAGGATTTTTCCTTTCCTTTTTTTTTAGTATGGATTTTAGTACAAAAGACTAGCCTAAAGCCATTAAACACAAAGGAACAGCAGTGTTAGCAATAGACTGTTCAGTGGGAATTGTTTTGATGCAATCTGCTGCAACAATTGGTCAAAAAACAGGTACTAGGTTTCTCCTTCAGTGTTTCACTAGTACAAGTGGTCAGAATTATATCCAGCAGCTTTGGCTTTGCTCAATAACCGTGATCCTCCCAAGTACAGTGTAAAACCCAGCGGGCCAGCTTCCTGAGGATCCTCTCTGTGGTGGGATTCTCAGGTGGCACAAAGTCACCAAAGCCACTGATCTGTCAGAGAGCATGTTTGGGAGAGGTGCAGGCTGCGGTCAGTCCTGGGCCACACTGGTCACCAGTTACCTTAGAAAACCTTTTGCCATTAGCCTGCTCCGGTTCGCACGACCAGCAGGCCCAACACCATTGATCCAAAGGAGCATGAAGATCACTTTTAGTCATAATTTCCCTTAAGGTCCTTGTTTCTCTGCTAACATCCTTCAACATGTGTGATGACTTGAACAATATCCTTGCATAAGTCCATAATTCATATAGTGAAAGTACCACCACCATCAGTAAGGCAGAAAAACTGATCAGACCAAGCAATTTGGCTTCAGCTTGTTCCTATATGCTAAATGTCCTCTTGGAGATCACACAATGATGTGAAAATAAAATGAGGATTGGCAATCTCAATTCTTTTTGTCCTTTGAGGCATTAAGCATAGCCTCATGGACTGTCATATTGGGGATCAAAGAAGAAAGTATAAAGTAAATGCAACAAATCAATGATTACATAAGTCCCTTTTAGCTAAAAACAAAAAACCACCCCCACCGTTAAAGTAGGCTTGCTCAGCAATGTATATAGCATGTGGTTTTCATGAAGAAGGCCCAACAAGCTGAAAAGCCCAAATGACAGGACAAATCCTGCATCTACCAGTCTCTGGAGTGAAACAGGGCTCTTGAGTAATTGAGACACACAACTGCGAGTAGTAGAAAAAGTATAGCAACAAGTGAGAGTACCACAGTGGATTTGCATGCCATTCTTCTTTCTGGTTCAACCTTTAAACAGCATTTCCATTAGTCAAGTAATCTCATCTTATTCCAAATGTTGGTTCATCTTTGGTTTGAGCAATTATGATAGAAATTACTGGTATTGTGCAGATTCTGTTTCAGCAGGTTCTCTAAAATTAGTTTAATAACTTTAATACAGTTTCTATTAAATATATATCTACGTCACAAAATTGCTACCATATTTAATGCTTTTGTGGACTGTCCTAACAAAGTCACAAGAAAGAAAATTGACATTGAAACTAGACAACTTTTACTCACTATTCTTTGGCTCCTAAAGGATTGGAAAAAAAAAAAAAAAAAAAAAAAAAGTGTATGGAATACAGCTTCCACAGATTTTAAGCTTCCAGGGTAAAAAACTCTTCATTTTACAGAAATGTTTTGACTGCTCATTGTGTAAAAGTCAAATTGATCATTAATAAAGGTTTAGTGCAATAATGATGCCATCTAACACTATTCCAAATTCCTTGATGGATAAGTTGGTCCAGTATTACTGCATTAACTTTTGCCTAGGATCATCACTCAGGCACTACTAATTTAACTGCCATTAAAGCGAAGTATCCTTCCTCTTCTTCCAACCAAAACCAGATACAGCATAATTACAACTGTGTGCTATGCAAAACAATGGGTTAACAAGTGAAATCATGATGCTGTCAGTCTTGTTATTGTGACTGCAAATATGTCAGCCGCAGCTCCAGCAGCAATTTTGTGTTTTTCCAACAGATTTATGCTGGAATTTTCAGATAATTTTCAGAAAATGAGGAGGCCAGGTCAACGTGGGTTTCATGAGCTTAATCAACCTCATTGTGTCCATTCCTGGAATAGCTGAAGTCAGATGACTTACACGCATAGCCAAGCCTGCAGTGTGCCCACTGATTGTCAGGTTCAAGTACATTTTTGACCAAAAGGGAAAAATGCATATTGAGGAAACGGTTGTATTTTCTTCTGTCTATCTAGATGTACTTTTAATGCTTTATCCTGTGTAACCTAGTTGCAACCATGCATGAGGTTTGCATTTTCTAGTTATAACAAAGGTATGTTGGAATTTTAACTAGACACATAGAAAGGTGTTCTTTGTCACAGTTCACTGAACTAGCCCATCTCACTTGTGAATCATTAATGATACTGACTGCTGGGTAAATTTACTTTGGTTGTGAATCTATAAATGGCATGGGAAGATGTAGTAGAATGATTTTTCATACTTAGCTTTTAAATGAGAACATTATCATTTCAAGGAAGGTAGAGGAAAAATATAAATGAACATTTTGGAAGGAGACAGCAATCTTAAAAAGCTAAGATTTTTAATTCTGTAATACTAATTTTACTATTCTGTTTCATGTAGCTATATTTTGCAGGGAGTGAGTATACACAGTCACACAGAAGTTGTCCACTTTAAGACTGTCCATTATGGGGAGAAGCTTTTTAAAGCAACTTCTTAAGGAGGTTTATTTACAGTGGCTTACAGACAGAGTTTAAAAATCAGGTAATTCAAAAATGCATTTGATGTTATTTGGGGTGATAAAGCAATTGAAGGTAGGAAACAGCAAAGCTGAATGTGAAGAAGCATTTTCCTGAGGACCATGGCCTAGGAAAATGGACAACTGTGTTTTCATGCAGACAGTCATTCTAACTTCAAATACAAGGTAACTCGTAGTGAGGTACAGTAAATATGAATAGGTACAGTAAATATGAATAGATTCATATTCAGAATGGAAGAATGCTGTTTGCTTTTCCTCTCTTATTGAACGAAGTAGCTGTATAGCAAACAGAGGTTTATTGAACTATTTTCCTTTAGGGCAGAGTTGGTATAAATTCAGGACTACACTGTGTCTTTGGCACAGGTGCATGGGAGAACTCCTATAACGACATACAAGAAAAAAATAATAACCATCCCCTCTGCCCCTAAATTTCCATCTTACAAGAAATTCTGATGTTTCAAAATGGGCTTTTGTTCTGAAATAGGAAAAAACCAAACACCAACACATTATAGAATAAAAAGTTCAGCCAACTTTCATTCATAAATTATGTTCTCTGAAGGAATATAGCTGTCACATAATTTCTTTACTCCACCATTTTTCTATGGGAGGGTTTGCAGGACATCATGAAAAACCTACCTAGCCCAGACACCCAGACAAAAACACAGGACTTTGAGGTATTCAAAAGTATACAAGTTCCCTCACTGCAAAGGGAACTTGTATACTTCTCATTTTAAGGGGTCTCTCTCCTTCAAAAAGAAAAAATGAATTCTGAAACACTTGAATTCAGCCACTCTCAGTTACTCATGGTAGCTTGCAGAATTCACTAACAATAGTTGCTAAACCATGGGGCAAATTTCCTATGTTAAATTAAGTTGCAGTGTAAATAAGAATGGACTGGGCAAAGTTCATTTTTAGTAAAGCTCTACTAAGTTCACATGTATACCAGTCAGTGATTTTGGCCTTACTAGTTTTTGTTCTGCTCATGGTTGACTCAGAGTCAACCTTGCTAATAATTTCATAGTAAAATCAGCTTGGACCATTATTTTCAAAGGTCTCTTTGCAAACGTATAACAGGATTTTTTTACACTTAATTAATTTATTAGTTTGCATTTTATCCTTAGATTTCTAGTCTAATTTATGTGTGTGGTAAAAGATAACCTCTTATTTCCTAAGCATAATGCATTCTTAGGATGTGTTTTGGGCAATATGGACATCAGCATGAATCAACTTCTGTCTCTATCTTTTGGTATCATTATGCTTAATGCACAGTAAAAACAGATGCTCTTTTCCTTACATTAAAGGCTACAACATAACTTAATTGCTTGAGTATGTTAGAAACAATAACCAGACAGAAAAGCAAAAATCCTTTACATGTTATATTGTAGAACCACAAGAACAAAGAAACCAATAAAAATTATCACAGCACAAAAATGTAATTAAATGTTCTTTTATTTGTGTCTCCACCCAGGGTGTAAACACACACTGAGGCATCCATTTATCTCTACAAATCTCTAGCCTCACTATAACAATATTTAAATCCAGATTTAAAACTCTGACCCAAGTGTTTTTTAGAGAAATATCTGAGATTTTTTTTTCTATTTCTGTTTCTAATTATACTAACCCATACAAATACTAGTAGTTCTATGGTGAAGGACAATGGCTGGAGCAGTCTTCTTTAAAGGCATCTCACAATAAGACATTCTACTGGTCATGTCATTGAGTTATAATTTTCCACATTTATTTTGTACCATGCACATACACCTTTCAATTTTACCTTTTATGTAAGAAAGAATTTTATGAAACAGGACAAAAATAACTTACGATTATATGAAAAATAACTGTAACAAATCACAAAATTATACATACTAGTAGAGAAAAAAGTGTAACTAATTCTTTTGAAAAATTATTTTTCATGGTATGCAACAGACATGTATTTAGAGCAAGTATCAGCCAGATAAACAGTATGGCAAATTGAGTTCATATGTGTATATGTAAGCATGTATAAATATGCTGAATACTCTGTAATGTTCAGGAAAAACATACTCCCGCTTTCTCTCCTCACCAAAGTGCTTTGTGTAAAAAATATTACACAAGATGCTGCTTTCTGTACAGAGTAAGGGGATTTATTTCTTAAATAAAACCCCACTCAGCTAATTTTAAATTGTGGGTTTTTTTTTTCTTTTGCATTATCTATTCCTAGGAAATATATATTAAAAAAAACAACAAAATTTCATACAAATAACAAAAAAGTGCTGTTTAAATAAATCTATTATAAAATTACAGAGGGGAAACAGGGAATAAACAATTAAAATGTAGTTTTTATCCTCATTCACACTTTCTCAAAGAAAGCTGAAAACAAAATACAATGTGACAGATGGCCTTAGCACTGCAATACTTCAGCATCCAGTATTAGTAAACCATAATGCCTTATGTATGTGTGTCTATGTGTGTATATATTCATGTATATATATATACATAGAAAGGAAGATCCAAATACACACATGCACTCTCATACACTCACATATGTACACAGGTGCTTTGAAACTGCATTTTAAACTCCAGTGTAGATGCATTTCTAAGGCAGATAAAAATAGACCACTTGGGTCTGAAAATAGGACAACTGAATAAAAGAATGATTGTAAATAAATTCATTAGAATATTGTTTAATGTCCACAGTCTAAAATAACTTCATCTCTTAGATACGAATCCCTTTAGAAAGTTAACAATCCAGCAAGTAGAATAACAACAGAAAAATCACTGAGGCACAAATATTTGCATATAAGTCAGTAACTGACTTTACACTATGTATTTTCACAAGCACCATTTTTCATTCTAACATGTGACAAACACAAATCTCTATTTAAATATCCAAAATACATGAGATAAAACAGTTATTTTTAATACAATTGACCTCAGTGATATAAGTTGATCCCCCAAAGTCAGTCTGAGTCCAAAGAGAATAATGAAATAATCATGAAGAATTCTCTTTGTCTTTGATACAGAAGTAAACAAAGGCATACCTTTTTACAGACTGGTAGCCTACTCTCATGTGCTTAATTTGACTATCTCCTTCTTTTTAAGACTAAGGCTCACAGGAAGCTGTAAATATATATATATGAAACAATGAGTGATTCACAAAAGTTTCCTTTTTTAAATGTAACTGATGCACACCCAAATTACAAATCCCCTTTTTGAATTCTGTATTCCTACTTTCCCTTTGGTCAGGGTCATTCATGATGTATAAGCTCTCTCTCTACTTGACAGCTCGTACACTCAAATACTAGAACAAATATTTCAAAAGATTTAAAAGTCAGGGTGTTACAGATCTGAAGTCAGCATTAGTATTTCAGTTTTGTACAGAGCAACTGTCAAATTTTGGACAACCGTGTGGTTAAAAGAAACTTAAAGGATTTATCTATACAAAAGTATGGATGTATGTATACATTCATATGTACACACTGCTCTTACTGATTTTGGTGGAACAAAACAGTCCTCCACATTTGAAATTGAAGTGCTCGGTGTGCTTAATTACTCCTGCTGAACCAAGTTATGCATGTGCAGTGACCATAGAATAGTCTTTAATATAGCACAGAATTAAAGCTTTATTTAAAATTGAAACTTGCGGTCAGTGCACTGGGCCAGATCGTACATTAATGCAAAAGGAGTATCTTTTTGCCTGTGCATGTGTAGCTGTGTAGGGAAGCCTGATGTCATTTAACCCAGTGCAAACCACACATAGTAACAGCTAGATCTCCTATTGCAGGCTGAAGCAGAGGGACACATTCATCTGTGATGTGAGAAACAGAATAAAAGGAGGAAGAATTTAGTACAGAATTATCCGTATTTAAGCCATATTCTTATTGTACATAATTTATATGCATAGTTTCTCCATATATTCTTTCTATTTAATGGATGAAAATCTCTCCATTAAATATATAAGCACATAGGCCTGTATATAAGAATACACTTCATGTGAATATAAACCTCAAAAGATTTCCAGTGCTTATAAACATCTGGACATAAATTATTCTATGCAACATAATGGCAAATTAAATTATGAATTTGACCCAAACTGCATTCAACAACTTTCAAAAGCTTCTCAGGATAAAAACAATGTTTGTATAAACATTTTAAAAAATTCATCATTCTAGATGAGTGATTTCAGAAGCATACTTATGGTCTAGCCTGCAAGAATGAACTTTGGATTTTTGTCCTTATTAAATCAGGTCATGAGAATATTAAGATGCACACTAAGAAGTCCATAAAATGGGTGAACAGGCATTAACAACCTAAACACTCAGTATTACATAATGTAAGAGTTGCTCCCAAGGTATACAGGACCCCAGTGATGACATGTCTCCACTGCAAAATACTGTTTTTAACTCATACCCGTGTACTTTTCATGAAGAGTAATGTCATTTGCTTGCATCCTGGACTAAATTCAAGGACCAGACCCTGTCAGTGATTAGAAAAATCAAACCCATCAAACCGGTTCAATTTTACATCTCTAAACAACCAGAGGGAATGTAGCAAATTTAAGAATAGCTCTTCTTCCTGAAAATGTGTTACAGAAATGAAGAACAATAGGGTAACAAAAATTTAATTGCATCAGTACAGATTGCTCTTAAAAAAATCTGTAGAATTTAAGGAAGAATCTTTTCTACAGGGTATTTTAAACCTTCCCACAGAGTACGATAGCACATACAGCAATATAAAGCTCTACAATATAATTAAAAATCAACCGAAAGTTAAACATGTTTCTTATTTAGTAGCTGTGCTAAATATTAACAAAGTCCATGTACCTTCTCATGTAGTGCATTTAACCCTTCTTATTCATTGCATAAAGCACTGGGTCAGAAAGAATATTGGAAAAATAGCAATGGCCATGTTGTATAGCTTAAAAAATACAGAGGAAAGGAAAAAACACCTAAACTGAGGCCTGTAAGAAATCCAGCATCGATGATCTCTGGCTTCAAAAAGAAGCCACCCCAATGCCTCCAATAGGTAATGCCAGGATGTATGCCTAATTTCTCTCCCTTTTTGATGCTGGTGTGTGTTTAACTTTGGAAGCATCACCTGTGAACATGCTGTGCAAAAAGCTGTATGACTTTGAAATGTTTATAGAATGCTCTAGTTTTACTTATATTCTTTTTTTTTTTTTTTTAATTTTCTAAAGCTGTGTTCTTCAATAAGTCCACCCATTCAGCTTGAAAGGATTACAGCCAACAAACAGTTTTCTTATCCAATCTCTGAATTCCCTTTGAGAAATTAAAAAGAAGAAAGAATGAAAAAAGTAGATTTGCTGTGCTGTGATGAAAAGAAAAGAAACAATTGCTGAGGTTTTGGCAAAGCTTGCTTTCTCCAAACATTCTCCTCAGTTGACTGCTTGATTACATGATGAATACTCAGTGATTGCTTTTTCCTCTCCATTATGTATGTATATCAACCCATATCCCCATACATACATGGGAGTTTCATGGAGCGAAAAATTTTGTAGAGAAATATCAGAAAGGCAAGACAAAGTGGAATCAAGTTCTTGTAACTAGATTTATATTACTCTAGCCTTCAGTGTACACAGAAGAAAGCTGGCTAGAGGAACGATCCACTGCATTTACTTGTGGGGAACGGCTATCCTCTGGCATGCTGCGAGCTGAATCACCAAAGATACCTGTGGACCCTGCTGGTAAGTCATAAACTGGAAAAAATACAAAAATGATTAATGAACTAGGATAAATATATCAAGGAAAATATCCTAATATTTATGCAGAGAACTGGGAATGGCTTTAAACCAAACAGACAAACAAAGCAAGTAAGCCAACATATATATGAAATTAATAATTACATAACTTACTGCTTATCAAAGGAGGAATTACAGTTCTGTCAGAATCAAGTCTGAAGTACAGCAGATTTTATCATAACTAACACTTGCCCATTTAATGGGTGCTAAAATAGTGATAATTTAAAAAATATACTTCATGCTTGCTTATTGAATTGCATCATATGTAACTTATGATATGAGGCAATAAAGTATTGTAGAACTCATTTGCTGTAAAGCAGACCCTGGCACAGAAATTACTAACTTCTACAAGCCACAGTAATGAGCACAAGAGTAACTGTTTGCAGCAAAACTCCCATCTTTTGGATTATACCTTTACAGACAGTGAGATGCCTCTTTGAAGTTACAGGTGCATTGGCTTTTTAATGCACTAGTGAAGGACCAAGACATAAGAGATTTCAAAGTACAATAAATGTTAAGTGAATTTATCGTGTGTGGAAGGACATCAACTGTGCTTAGGCCCTAAGATTAGGCCCACTGTCTTGTGCTGATCTTTGCACAGAGGCTACTTTCATCCTTCCAGAGCAGCATGCAAGCCCCTTATATACTCTTCAGCTAGGCAGAGACTAAGTCAAGTGTGCACAGAAAATTGTGCACCCAGGCAGTTCTTGTCATGAAAATGTGAATAAACGAAATTCAAGAGTGAGAAAAATCAAACACGTATAAAGCAAAATCATTTCAGGTGCCTGCTACAATACTTAGATCATAGTGGAGTGGCTGCACAAATATCACACAGGGCTCAGTGGACTGCATTTCAAAGCAAATACACAAGCTAGTAACTGTCTGACCCCCGGAGGCTAGAACCTTGAAAAGTCCTCAACAGTGTGCAGTCCGCACACAGGTCAGATGTCACTGTGACCCATGGTGACTAGGTCCCAATGAGAACCATTCCACAAACGTCTGAAAATCATCTCTTCTTTGTGAAGAGTCAAGTCTGTCATGACAGGTCCCAGCCACATACAGACCTTAAGCGGGTCTATCAAAGTCTACAACCTGTACACAACTGTTCACAAAGTCCCCAGTTGTCACTTACCTGTAATACCAGAATGAGCTGAAAAAGTCTGATGGAAAATGCCAAGCCCCGACTGGCCTGCTGATGTGGGAAGTAAGCTGTCTTCAAAAGGAGGAACCATATTGCAAGAAACACCATGTTGTACATTCTTCTGAGTGTCAGCATAACGTGGAGGGCAGAAAGTCTGAAGCTGCCCATAAAAACCTACAACAAGGAGAAAAAAGTGGTCAGTAAAAGACCTGCACAGAGATACAACGGATAGACGTGAGGACTATGAAAACCTCAACTGCAGTAGCACCACAACTTCAATTATTTTCCATCAGTAAAGCAGCTCCCTATGAAGCTCCCTAAGACCTCCTCCAGTTGCTACTAATTCTGAACACAAACCACTTCATGGATATCCTGATTCCAGCATGACTTGTGAGAGGCACTGAATGGATAGAAGGTGGAATTTGTCAGGAAATTTCTCCTTTTATTCTGCAGTCCTGCTGTCTGAAATGGTACTGTCCAGATTTCACATTGTGTTGCTGCTCGAAAAATCTAAGAAAATGCTTAATTCAAAATGAAGGAAGATTACTCAAGTAAGGTCTGAATAAAATCTGAGGGTCTTTCACTGATGCCGAGACAGCTGGCTGGTAATGGGGACCTGCATATGAGACTCAGAAGGGCTGACAGCTGATGATGTACAGGGTGAGAGTCTAACCCACTCATCAGTAGCAGTGAGTCCACATGGAAGAGAACCAAGACAATTGTGTCACATGACATAAAAGGTTCCTCCCAGGGTATTTGTTCTTCAAGTCATTTTTTGTTCCTTAGGTAATATTTCAGAGAAACATATTAGCATTGAGTAAATTCACATTGAAGTACATGTCAAAATATATATTTACAGAACCAAACCCATGTTTCTTGGTAAAACAGGGACATGTATGGAATCTAAGAGATGCAGTGAGGTGTTCTGCAGTAGGTGGGCCTGAAGATTTTTCTCATGGAAGCAAGGTCTTTTCTCCTCCTTAAAAAAGGAGTCTAAGCTTTGGAAATTTTGCTCAATGTCTGAGGGATGGCTTTTATAGGTGAAAGACTGTGGTATGCATTTATTTCTGTTTTCTATAACATGTTCTTAGAATTAATGTAAGATTAAATATTATAAATTCATACAATGTATATATGCCTATTTCTTTTAAGAAAAATTGTGAATCAAGATCCTCTGCCAGTGCTGTGGCTCCTTATTCTCACCACTCTCTTTCTGTGCATAAAGGAAAAAGACAGTACATTACTTCCAAAGTGTTACATAGAAATTGTAGGTCTTGACTGTCCAAAAATAGGCCCAGGAATGATATAGTCTCTGAAGATTTTATTAGCAAACAGCTTATTGTCTAAGGGCTGGTGTGCTATTCTCTTGATGAAGAATATGTTGTGGTAAGTCATACCAAAAAGTCATACCACCATCGGAAAAATGACCCCCTACCTCAGAAAGCATCTTAGGGAATATCCTGCATCTCAACTTTATTCCAGAGATATTACTGTCAATACAAAAAGCTGCCATGCAGGGCTGTCTCCTATGGCCAGTTTAGTTAACCAACATCCATATGACAAAGTACTTCCACCTGAATTTCCTTTTAGTGTAGAAAAATCAATAAAAAGAAAGCACAACAAAACCTTCCCCAAACCCTTAAAATATCAACATCCGAAAAAAAAAAAAAAAAAAAAAGAAAAAAAAAAGGAGAAAAGAGGGATTGAAAAACATGGTTTAATGAAACTTCTATATATAAACTGTACTGTAGATACTGACTTACAATTCAAGAAATTAAATTACTCCCCTCTCCTTAGACATCTGTTTACTGTCTTTTGGGTATTATGAAAAAGGAGGAAACCTTGTTGCTTTCAGTGATTATAAATTTTCACAGATTTGACTTCAAAGAGCAGTTAGTACTTGGAGTGAATAAAGAATCCTAATCTGGATAGTTACAGGTCAAGTTCATCCTTCCATGTGTTCAAGAATTAGCCTCAGTATACTCATACTGTGTAGTCAGTAAAGCATATTTATACCAGATATTCAGCTTTCATGCCTGAAACCAACTGATGTCCACAAGCAGTAAAAAACCATGAGTAGTAAGCAATTAGCTCACATGATTAAAAGCTCATCTCCCTCCCTAAAGGTATTGGTAAATTTGAGTGAGCAGTACATGACAAAAGACCCTCAGGTACCATTTAACAGTTAAGAAAGGATCAAGGACATATCCCAAAGGATAGATGACGATAAGCAGAGAATGTCCTTTTATGGGAAGCATGAAACATGGAGTCACAACCTATCAACATTTGAGAGGGTCATGTCTAAATATCTTGGCTATTATGTGACACTTGAGCATTACTATTGGCCTACTCATTCATTACTAGTAATTAGAAATTCCTTGTATGTGGCACCTGGTTTTGACTTTTCAGTAAAAAGTATTTTAATAGTAAAAATTTTATATTGGTGCAGTTACATACCCCAACCCAAACAAACCTTTCAACCTCATAACCCTTTATAGGGACAGTGTATGCTTCAAAACATGTTATGAACATAAGGCACTTGGCAAACATTTTCTGGATTTTGGCTAGGATCTAGGTGTATTTCCATTAACTTTCCTAAGGAAGTGTGCACATAGGACTATTGTTTGCTAAAGCTGCATTGAGTGTTTATGATAATGCATTTCATAAATAATAGGTATAGAGAAAGGAAAAGGACACAGTGAAAAACATGCTGTATCACTTCATGTGATATAACTGATTTTCTGCCAAGAAGGAGGAAGGATGCATGATTTAGGAGTTTTACGATTCTAATTATTTTTCTTTTGAGACTAATTTTTGTGGTTGCTGTGAGGAAACATACATGTTGGCATGGATAAGATGTGCTAGAATTGAAACAGAAAACTAAATATTTAAAAGCATCAGAATTGGCCAGGACTATGGACAGGAAAAGACAGCCTGAATCTGTACCCAGGAACTCAGAAGAGACCTTATGGGGAGGTCTGGCTAACAATGGTGAGTGAAACATAGTCTTTGCATTTTATTTAGTAGTCTTGCAAGACCCTTCTGTGTACACAAAATGAGATAAACGCCTAATTTAAATATACATATAAGAGGTTAGATCAGGCAAATAGTTACATGAAAAAACACTGAAACAATTGTCAGTGTTGTGTCTGAAAACCTGCATGAAAAAAGAGTATTTTGACCTCATATAAAAGAGGAAAAAAGAAAATGGAAAAAAAAAAAAAGATGGAAAAATGAAAAGCAGAAGCATGGTTCCTTTTCCAAGGCGGGCACAGTTTGCAGACTGTGCTCACTCTGTAGAGGGTGAACACTCACTGACTTCATTGTCTTTTGCAGGGGCTGCAGGCACTTTGCAGTCCTAGCTGGAAGATGACAGTTTCAATCTTTTTTTTCTTTTAAAGTTTAACTGCAACAACACTGAGTCAGACTGCAAAGCATGTTAGGAATTTATAACCCATCAATCCTTAAATGTCCAGTCCTGACATTTAAGAATCAACTGCAGTAAATAAAATGAAAGAAAAAACAATAGCCATCCAAAACTTGATTTAAAAGCTACATAGCTACTGACAGTTTTAGCCTCCTTGGAAAATGTTTTTAAAACCAACTTTTCTCTCAACCAGCAATAGGACACACTGTGCAAGTTTACTGTTGAGTCAGACTAGTTATCAGAAACAACTGTTTCAATCTCCAGTGGTCTGAGCCAGCTGGCAAGACCCTTCAAGACACATGATAAAATGTCCTTTTACATTGCTTTGTGATCATTCTCTATTTGTGCCTTTCTCCCAGCATCCTGTTCCCAATGCAGAACAATCTGGCTCTAACTTTGACTATTGCTAGCTGAAGTCTGGCAGAAAGTCTGCTTAGCTTGGAGTTGAGCTATTGTGAGTCACGTCCTCTTTTTTTTTGTTTTTTTTTTTTTTTTTTTTGTGTGTGTTTGCTCATTGTCTACTTGAGCAAAAGAATATTGTCTAGCAGTCTTACAAGCTTTGACCCATTGGTACACTAACTGTTATATTGCTGAAAGAACCAGAGAAGTGCACAAAGCACTTTCATTAACTAATAATACCCCAAATAATTTTTTAAGATGGAACGAGAACATATAAAAATAGTTCAACTTTCCTAAATGTTATTTTCATTATTCAGTGCCATAAATATCCATCTTATAGAATGGAGAGCCATAAATTGGAAAGAGCAGAACAGAGGATACATCATTCTCTTCTCCTCCATTATTTAGTACTATTCCAAATGTCTTTGTCCATGTCTGCAGTGCATCAGGTCACAATGTAAAGGTCTTTGAACTGGAGCCCAAACATGATACAGCAAAATCTCCTAACTTGGTATCGGGAGCTCTTCTCTTTATTCACATGGTGCCATGCCCAAGATAATCTACAATACTGATGAATGTACGATAACATGAAACCATATGCAATTCAGGCCTTCGACCCTGACTACAGCTGACCCCTTGTTCGAGATTATCTGTTGGAGGACTACCTGTAGCACCAGTTTTCTGTGTTTTCATGCAGCACCGGAAAAAAAATAAAACCAGATTGGCTAATGAAGTTCCAGAACTGAACATTTCTTCTCAGGACTGCAACTCTGGATCATATCAGTTTCCCTCTATTTAAACACACATACATGCACAAGCTTATGTAAACAGTGTTTGAATCAGTACACTATAGCCAAGATCCATGATGTCAAGATACCAAATAAACTGTTATTTTTCTGGCATGATAGCATTATTTCCTGAAGAAAAGGAAATATTTTTAAATACGATAAAATAGCTGGATATTGCAAGAATCTCTTCTAAAAGCAGGAAGCATTTGTTCTTTATCGCATACAGAGCCTCATCCTGACAGACGCTGAGCATCTGAAAATTCCAGGTACACAGTCCATCTCAAATTCACAGCTGAAACTGTGGTCCATGTAAGATTGTGATAGAGTCCTGATCCCACTGAACTGATGTGGACAAAGATTTCATTACAGATATGCAATGAATGACCGCCACAGTTACAACTTCCATAATGTAGAAAGTTTCTGATGGACATTTATTCCTCCTCAGTCGAGAGAATATTTTCTCAAGAAAATCATTATAACTTCCATTAAGAAATATACATCATGACTCTCTAGTCTTTACTGCTATGGTATTTAAAAGTTCCAGCTGTATTTGGCCTAAACAACTTCAAAATAGTGTTCCTCTGCAGTGTAATTCTACAGTGTCCACTAGGTGAATTACACAAATATCAAGTAATTATTTGGTACCATCTGAGTGTGAAGAACACAAGGAAAAGAAAGAGTAAGACAGAGATGAGTCACACATTGTAACGCCAGACTGACTTGCAAATGTGAAAAACTAGAAATATTTCTATTTATTTAAATCAGATTATCTGTAATTAAAAGATAAATGTTAGTAGTAGAGTTGCCTGTATAGATATATTAGTATAAGTAACTCATATCAGCTAACAATTTTTTTAAAGAAATGACAACTTTTTTTTTTTACTAAATATTTTTCATGACGTTTTATTTCTTCCATTACTCATCCAGAATTGGTCATCAGCTTAACTCAGAAGCACGTATGACATGATTTACAGGCACCATTTTAAAGGACAGTCAGATTTCTAGTGCAAAAGTGTTCACACTATCAGAAGCACAGTATCAGCAAAGCCCATGCCAAAAGGAGGTTTACCTCACTCTATACTATATGCACAACAGGTTCACTCACCGTGAAGGAGGAGTTTCTATTGATGTTTTTTTTTTTCCTAACTCATACATCTCAGAGTAATACCTTATTCTTGCAGCTACCTGTGTGCTGCAGATGCTTGTGTCTTCAGATACCTCTGCTGAGATCCCTATAGTTGTTCTTCGCTGAACTCACCAGTACAATATAGACCCTGGGCCAATTGCTGCAGATTTCCAGGACCTTTACTGTCTTCTATTCTGTCTACAAACACATAGTACAATGGTGTACAATGGCATCAAGCTGGGAAGTCATTACTCCAGTCTCCAGTCCAGGATAGTTTCAGACTTACCGCCCAGGATAATCCAATAAAAGACACTACAGTCTAATAAAAGGAAAAGAAGAGCTTCACTTCTGCAGCACAGTGAGTCATCTAACATCATCACTTCCAAGCATCCCACGCAGAAAAGGAAATTGTGAATTTCACAAGAGGAAGGAAAGGGAATATTGAGTCTATTACATAATATTAACCAAGGCAATAAAAAGCCCTCTCTGATATTACTATGTATCCGATGCTGAAAATCACTCAGAACAAATAATGAAATCTGAACTGTAGACAATGCTCTTACAAGAAAAAGCAGTTTCACAATACAACTAGCTATTAGATATAAAAGGCTTGTCATTCTCAGATCTTCTACATAATTTCTTTCTAAAGGATAGTGCTCTGAGATGTCCATGAGCTTTTAATATGCTCAGGCTTTCAGTAAGAGAGTCTGTTTAGAACTTGTTTTCTTCAAAACGCTTCCAGGCAATGAAATTCTTTCTTCCTCACTACAGCCAATTTAAATGGAGTTGACAAGTTTAAGACTATGCACTGAGACAAAAATGTCACCGTTGTTTGGCAGCTGACTGAGTTGAAGCAGCTATAGCTACAGCACTTTAAATCATCAAAAGGCAGGTTATGAACTGCAAGAGACAGAAACTAACGGAGCTTCGCACAGACACTTATATATCAGATAGTCCAGGCTAGTGAGAAAACTCCATGGCGTTTTTCTACATTATAATAATGTGACTAAGGAAGATGGCAATCTTTGTATTGCTGCTGGGAAAACATGACCATGAACTATTGAAACATTTGCTTTTGAGAGGGAGAGTTTAGGCAAGCCTTTCAGACAGATAGAACAAACAAAGCCTTCAGTGTGGCACATATGAGCAAGACAGCTGTGCTCACTCTGTATGGAGCACATTCTGACAAAATACCTCTTCTAGTGACAAGAGGTTACGTAATCTTTGAAAGAACATATAATACCCAAATGTGGCTGTTGTATTGCAATGTATTATATCTTTCAATACTAAAAAAAAAAAAAAAAAAACCCAAAAAAAAAAAAAAACAGTTAAGAGTTCAGCCCACATTGTCTTCCTACCAGCTTTAAGTGTAGAGATCTTTACCACTGCAACTTTGAGTTGCTATCTATGTGTATAAAATTCCTGTCAGCAATGTCTATTATCAGCAAAGGGTTTCCTAGGACAGGGGGGCAAACACAGTAATGCTAATGTGGGACTAAGTAAAGTATGGGTTTAAGTCCTGAGTCCTTGGGGTTATCCATTTTTTGATCCACTCAGAAGATACTATTAACCTCTATCTTAAATTTTGATGTGGAATGGGGCTTCAGTCCATATGTAATATTCACGCAGATGAGGGTTTCTATTGGGCCGCCTTCTTATAATAGTTCTAATGACCCATGTTTTCTGTCCTTTTAAATCCTGTTTGGACTGTAGGAGGGGGAGATGGGAACACAGTAGCATCACTCTGGTCTGCCCTAAAGAGAAGATGCCTAAGCAGATATGGAGCTAGCTGCACCAAGCAGTGCAAGTCTCGTGTGGAGCAGCAACTAAGCCAAGGTGATTTGTGAGCCTCTGAGAGGCAGGATTCTTTGGAAACTGTTCAACTTTGGAACAACTGGTTGTGATTCTAGCTTCTACAACTACTGAAGTTCCCATGACCCTAAGAAGAAGATGGTGGTAAAGCCATCTAAGCACTCAAAGACAATTTTGGTCCAGGCAGGAAGACAGACCTTAATGTCTGAATGCCTTTCTGGAAGATTAGCTCTTGTCAAATATTCAGCAAAAAATTGAATTGATTAAAATGTATTGCACTGTGGGAATAGGAAGGCTAACCTGATCCCTTCATGCCCCATGTGCTCAGAATTTATTGGACCTGCTCTGGCATGTCTTTGCATAAATCATATGACAATGAACAGTATATTAATAAATTAGCCCTAGATTATTATGAAACTTTAATCAGAGAATAGAGAAATTCAACAATAACTGCTTATATCCATTGGTAAATTTCATGTTCTTCTACTACTAATTGGTGCTGTACAGGATTACCAGTTCCCGGAGGAAAAGCACCTGGCTCAGATCCTGCTCCCGTGTGGTCCAGTACAATAAGAAGAACAAAACAGGACTGGCACCTTCCTTTATCCCCTTCAAACTCATGAATCCTGGGAGATGCCACAATGTCCTGTCTCACCCCTTTGCCTAGAGAGACTGCTTCCATCAGTTGAAGAAAATAAAAGGAGCCTTAGTTTCCTCAAGAAGTTTCCTATGATATCTACTGTGATAATTCTCAGGAAGCCTAATCAAAAAGCAGAATCCCAAGGCCTATAAAAGTCAATGTGCAATGTACCTTGTGTATGTAAATGTGGCAAACCATATATTTAAACAGTTGATGACAAATAGCATTACTGCTGTTAACACCTTTCTGAAATGCTAAGTTAATTACCATTCAGACCATACCAGCTAGCAAGAATACCCAAAACAGCCCAACATTGTTTTCTACTGCTGTTAGTTTTCTTCTTGGCTAAAAAATTTATACTTGATTGAACAAAGAGAAAAAATCTTGTAGAAGTTGTTTACACAACTCAAGTGGGAACACAGCTGTAAGAGACATATATGCTAATAAAAGAAGAGGTCTTGATCATTCCCCAAGTGCAAGGGAGAAGAATATTCCATCTCTTGAAAACCTGATAATACTTTATGTGCAAAGTCAGGAGGAATTAGAAGAATAATATTAGAAAATTAAAAGCAAATGCCATCACAGAATTATTTGCAGTTCTTTTTCAACAACAGCTCTAAAAATCAGTCTGAACCATAACTCCACAATAAGATGAATAACAAACAGCTAAACTAAGAATTTTAAGGAAGACTGAAGGCATGGTCCTGAAGGCTACTTCCCAGAGTCTTTCAAAAGGAAAGGTGATTAAAAATGCCAGTGCCAGTCCTTGAAGTACTAAATTTTAAGCAAAAAACTAACATCTGTGATGAACATTCTTCCTTCTTACCTTGGATGTGGAGGCTATTTGGTTGAAAAGAAGGGTTTGCTGTTGGCTGGTATGTCTTTAGAGGCACTCCTGCAGGCTGTTGAAGGTGGAGAGGTTGTGGAGTCCGTCTCTGCATCATGTGATGTGGAACTGAAATTCTCTGGGGACTGATGTGGTGAGAAGAAGCTGGACCAACAAACCTAAGAGGTCAGAAACACAAAACTGTAAAACCCCCAAAAGATAAGAGCTAAAGGTTGTTTTTACTTTACTTAAATTACTGTAATGTTTAGCAGCTTGCACAGGCAGACTTCCAAAAGAACAGTGTGCAGCCCAGATACAGAGAAGAAATATTTTCAAACAGTGACATCATTAGATTTGACAACTGGGAAATTAACAGGCTGAACTGCACCCTTATAATAGAAAATTTCTTTTAACTTCTGTGGGTGGGTTTAAGTCTTAGTGGGAGAAGGTATCTCATAGGGGACCTGACTTCAGAGGCATTGCCAGCTGTCTCACTGTAAGGCTTTGTATCAACTGTATCTGTCAATAAATAGCTGTCCTTCCTCATTGGAAGTGAGCGGTCACTTCTGGTCACTGGACACTGAGGAGTTATATACTAGGTTCAGGTCCAGGTTCAGGTTTCAAGTTCTAGAAATCTTTGTAAGTTACATAGAGCTATTTGAAAATAAACCTGAAGTCAATATAATGTATATAAGGGCGAGTGTTAAATCACTTCCAGTTGGGCAGAGTCTGACCACATCAAAATGTTGATCTGGACTCAAAGTATAAACTTACAAGTCTGGCAGAGGAGGAGACCCATTCAGATCAAACCTCACGGTGCAGCTGCCACAGAAGTTCATTATTTCAATTATAAGTTTTACACAGATCTGTCACTCCTGGCACTACGAGGATACACACTACTTTATGGATTTTACACAACGGTTTTACAGACTTTGTAAGTTTAACTTTTTTCTACATTTCCTTAAAATTGCATACCTCAAAGTACATTACAAATAGGTGCTACAGTAATTTTTGCATATGGAAAGCTGAGGTTATAATAGCTCTGGTTGGTGCCTCCAATGACCAAACAACCCACCAGACCAGTGGGATCAGATTAGTAAACAGAAACTCAGCCTGAGTTTAGGAATGGCTCAGGACCGCTTTCTCATCCATGAGAGGAGAGCCGGGAAGACCAACGAAAAAAGAGACAAGGTATTTCTGCAAGAGGGTGAATGAAAACTGATGTGGTATTCCTGTCGCGGATCGGCATCTCTCTCCACTCCTACAAGCAAGCTGCAAGTCTGTGCTGAGCAAGAGCGCTCACCTACCCTTCTCTGTCGTGTGTGTGCTTAGTAGTTGCTGCTAGGACAAATTAGTGCTTGCAGTTAACACAGTCTGCCAGGAACCTAAAGCATAGATCTGGTCCCTGTTCTCCTGAGACTGGACCTCAATACACTAGAAGACTCCTTTTTAACCTAGCAGTAAAGAATGTTTTTTCCTGCAGAAGCATAAAGAAGCTGTAATCTCACACTGAATACAACAGAAGGTGCAACTGCAGTAGCAGTAGTACACCCCTGGACAGGGTTATTTTACAGGTTATAACCACATATAAATCCAAGAGACCTGAGATCCTTTATGCTGCAGCTCAGAATTAGTACCTGCCACAAATTAGCTGTGTGATTTTGACTTAATTTGAAACCTATTTACTACATTTCTGGTAGATCCACAATTTACATTTGGAGTACAGAAGGTGTCAAGATGAACTTTGGATGATTTAATGCCTATTCAGTTTTCTTTGAGACTCGCACTTTTAGGCATGCTAGAAACTGAGAAACCAGTAGCTATGTTGTGATAAAAATATCAGAAGTTTTCAAAAGGTGCTACAACTACCTAGTTACATGTTTCCTGCATAAGGACTGGAGTTAGTCTTTTGTGTAGCACTTACACAGAAGGACTGTTACTTCCTGCCAGAGATTAAGACAATCTTTTATTACGACTGTTACTTTAAAAATCATGGGATATCATCCTCTGTGTTTTCAAAATTAATTTGTGAAAATTAATCTCTGAAATAGGTTTTTAACCAGCAGCCAACAACAGGGAAAAAAATCCTTTTCAAAACTAAAAGTGAAAAGCACAGTTTTAGAGATTTCACATTTAACATCCCGAAACCTCTCCCAATAATAATGCACTACTTTGTACAGCCAGACAGGACTCCTTTTTAGCAGACTTTAGTGGTCTTTATAATGATTTATGAATCACTTCACAAATTCCTGACTTACTCATATGGGTGACTATAGTTATCTACTTTTAATTCCCTTTGGCCTAACAAAAGAGAAGCTTGGACTTGTCTCCATCCAGATCTGTCTCTGAACAAATCATAATGTGTTACTGGGGGAACTGAAAATTTAATTTTGCTCCTGAAACAATCAGGACCAGTTTGTAACCACACAGAAACAGCCATCAAGATTGTGGTCAAGCCCTGGAGCCAATGCAATTAGGAATAAGTCAGATTTGAAGAAAGGTGACCTTCCCTATTTCTGCTGGATTCAAAATCAGAGCAGGAACGTTTCTGGAGCCATCAAGTAGCCTCTCCCTTTCCAACAGTAGCTAGGAAAAAAAGTGTCATGCTGGGGAATTACTAGATTTGGTAGCAAGCAAGATAGATGACAAAGTTACCAAAGCTTACCTGTTTTGATGAGATTAGATAAAATAGCGCATATATAGGGGGTTTGTTAATGACTAGTACTGGTCACAGCTACCTGGAAAAAAGATTTTACTCTAGCATTTGTTGACTGGAGCTGGCCCAAATGTAAACTACATGCACAGTATAAGTAATGTGTGGAAAGGGAATGGAAGAGGAAGGGTAATAGTAATAATATATAGTATAAATAGTGTATTTATATAGTATTTATAACTATTTATGTAGTTTATCTTAGCATGGTTGGCCACCTGTAAATGGTCTTTGGTGTGTTGGGGAAACAACCTTTCATGCCTCTGTAGCAAGGATATATACAAGGTATTTCTTCACCTAGAATCTCAAGTGCTTTGAGACTCCTCAATTAAAGAACTGGCTGTGCTCAATTGTCTGGGCATCAATGGGCTGAAGGGGTTATTTTTGTATGTGGAGAAAATATCAAGAACTGCATGGCAGAGAAACCCTTTTTGTTAAACTTCCCATCAAGCAGAACTGCCATTCTAATCCAAGACAGTGGAGACAGGTATTATAACTGTGATACCAAGTTGTCACTGTTCAAGATGATTGGAAACAAGGAAAGCAAGAAAATAATTATCATTCAAAGCTCTATCTGACCTACAGCTTTTAGTTGGCACTCCCCTTTTTCCAAGTGAATTTGAAAGACTCATCACCTCAGAATTATCTTGGCTGCTGTTCTTTTAGGCTGGCAGTCTTTCATTTGTTTTCACACTCCCCACCTCAGGAAGCTCATGGAAGTATATGCCCGACCGAACAATATTGGACATTGTGCTTATACAGGAATCACTCAGTGGGCTTCTCCCACTTTCACTGCTTGATGGCTCCAAGAGTTGTCACCTGCATCCACTTCACAGAGCTCTGTAGCTAAGTAGACAGCTCCTCTTCATATGGGGAGAAGGGAGAGCAGGAAATTTGGTCCAAGACTGGAGCCAGTGTGCTGATGACAAGAAAAATTCCAGGTCTGTCATGGATATCAGTCCCATCTTAAAAGGGAACCCCTTTGAACTTGCTGCCTGCTTCACTTACCCATCTTCTGAAAGGGAAGAGCAACTCTGAGCTGCAACAAGAGGCTGAGTTTTCCTTGCCTTGTTTTTCAGAGGATTAGAAAAAGAGCAACAGAAGGAACACAGGGCAGCATCCCAAATCTTTCCACTCTTCTGTCCTCCTCCCTCAGTGCTTAAAACCTCACCCTACAGAAGCAAGGAACGCATGAAGATGGGAAGGATGGGAGACTGAAATTTTGGGGGAAGAACTGGGGAATATTGATTGCAAGATAGACTTGTAAGTGAGAACCACTACAGCGAAATAAAGCTGGAGTTACATATCTTTGTGAGGAAATCTGGAAGAAGTGGCTAATCTAATTGCTATATATATACACATATGTACATATACATACATATGGTAGAAAGAAAAAGTAACAACTAGAGTTCAAATTTAAAAATGCAGACAAAAATTGTGTATGGTCATTAAAAAATTCTGTAAGTTTGCAGCCAATCACATTGATTTGGTGTCTGAGATACATTTTCTGAAATACTGTTTTTAGCACTAATGGTACCATGAATTGCCCCTCATGCTTCTGGTTTACTCTCTCTCTCAAGTTCTCCCTCCTGTGGGGCCATACTCATAGAATATCAGAAAGCACAATTCAAATGTGGGTATAAAGATTGCCTTGAATCACTAGAAAAAGGTGTAAGGGCAAACTTACTTTAAAAAAAAAAGAAAGTGTGAAGGTAAACTTACTCTGACCTACTTTTTTGTAGTCAAAAAGAATCAACTTTGTCAAATCTTTGGGGGCTGTTAATCTATTCTAGGAAACAGGATTTAAGACTTTTTGCTGCCTTTTGTTGAATAAACCAGATTACACTAAAAATTTCTCACACAACCAATTTTTCTTTTTAACAGAAAAAACATGTTAAAAGCCCAAATACCAAATAACCATATGGGCTGCTGGACAACAGCTCTGTCAATTTCATATCTCTAGGGGGTTAGTATATTTCTGCTTTTCCTGCTTGTTCTGTTTCACTCGTACAAAAAAAGTTGATTTTTGCTAAATCTAGCAAAAGGTCATTATTTCATATTACATCAAATTCTGTGTTTCACCTTTTCCAACTAGTAGTTTCTTGGGAAAAAAGGTTAATTTCAATTATTCTCCAGTTTCAAATAAATTCTGCAGGGGACTAGGAGCATGACAAAAATAATGATAATAGCATATTGTACTACAGTAGCAATAATAGCAAGCAAAGAGAGTATCTTCTTTTCTTGGGAACAGCAAATAAAACACTTTCATTGTAACTAACTATCTGTTAAAAATATATTGAATAGAAAGGAAACTGTATCTGCATATAAATGAGAAAAGAAGAGAAGGCGTAGTTTACCTATCACTAATCCCTGTTACACTATGGCACAAAATGCTACTAGCAGGAATTATTTGAGATAGGAACTATGTAACAATGTTGGATGTATCTATGTCTTCTTTCTCTGCTTTTT